TTTAAAAATAAAGACACTGTTTTAAAAAACAATGCATGTTGCACTTGTGGACTCATCCATGTGCAGTCCTGTGAAAAACCATGCTATATGAGTCTTTGCACAGTTCTGTAAATGCTGCATAGGGTTTGAAGTGAGACTCTGCAAGCTGATCCCTTATAGTTATGGTTCTCTCTGTTCTTGACTAATAATGGTAAGAATATAATTTTTATAGTGAAGTCCTTGCTGCAGCATCCAGTTTTTAATGCAAATCTTACCTTTGCTGAGAGGTGTGTTTTGTTTTTTTTGTTTTGTTTTTTCAATTTTGGGTTAACTATTGTGAAAAAGGAGACCTATTTGAGTTACACATCACAAGAAAATAGTCTCTAAAAAGTAAAACAACAACAACCAAACCAAAAAAACAAAAAAACAAGTAGTCCCCCCATAGGGACTGCTTAAGACGGTAAGTAGCAACAAGATACTGTTAATCAAACGTACTCAATTAACGGATAATGAGCCTCTGTGAGTATCTGTATAATAACAGAAAATTTGGCAGTTTTCTGTACAAAAGCTCAAATCCAGCAAATTTACCCCAAAGTCAGACTTTGCGGTGCTCAGATTTTTGCAGAAACCCCAAGAGCTGCTTGTCTGACTCAATTAGTATGTTTAGTGTTAAAGTTTGGGATGTTACAGTTAGAAAAAGAATGGCAAATGGACTGGAACTAGTTTAGTTTTTCTGCTACAACTCTCATTCACCCAATCACCTATACATTGTTACAGTGCCTTTATCTATACCTAATCACTATTGTATCAATTTACACATGTACACTGTGATGAATGGATCAGGGGCAATTTGAGCTTCAATATCTTTCCCAAGGATACTTTGACATATAGACTGTAGGAGCAACTCTACTACCTAAACCACAAGCGCTCTGGAGCCCTTTGTACACTGACCATTCAGCAGAAACTGGCTTCCACATAAGAAAAATAGGAGAACACTAGTATTGTTTAAACATGCATGCATGTATAATCTGTACCAATATCAAAGCAAACTTTGATAGAAGCAGGTGTGAATAATTATTTCTGCCTTTTAGCATTCATTACATCCTTTCTGTGAATTGCATCTGTTTTCCCCTTAGCCCACCCATCCATTTTCTTCTGCTTATCCAATTCAGGGTGATGGGGGTGGTTGGAGCCTATTATAGCTGCCATATGGTGAGCAGAGAGAGCAGGGTACAGCCTGGACAGGTCACCAGGGCTAACACAGAGACACAGACAGCCACACACACACCTGTGGGCAATTTAGAATCACCAGTTAACCTAACCCTACTAATTGCATGTCTGTGGACTGTGGGAGGAAGCCAGAGAGAATCCATGCCCAAATAGATGGCAGATTTAAAAACCCGAGTTCTCCCCTGTTCTTTTTCTTTCCCCCCACAAAAGAGATGTCATCAAAGTGTGTTTTTCTTTTTCATGACATGTTCAGTGTCCTGAAGAATTAGAATCACAGCAAAATACCTAGCTTTAACTATCTCGTTTCTTCTAATCAGATGTACCATGTTGTGCTACCAAATCTTTATGTAACAGATGAACACACCATCACACTTGATTACTCCTATAATAGACCTGCATCAAAAGCTTTAATGGATGTACAATTTACATAAGCAATGTTCTGCCTACTTATTACTGATGTACATAACGTTATATGAGATCAGTCTTAAAATAGATATGCATGTAATGCAGACGGAGGCAAGTGTTATATTCCCAACTTACTTTACCAGCTGGGACTATGTTTTCTTTATTTATGATTAAGTAAAAACCAGACATGTTAGAGATGCTGAGGAAATCTGAAGACTAGATGATTGGTTATTAGACTGAGCAGCTCACTTTTTGCTGTGATCAGAGTTGCTATACGAATATTGCTGCTAAGTAGAAAACAGACATATTTAGGAGACTCTCAATATCAAGAGCGTTCTTTAATTATTCATTGTGGGTGTGTAGTTTTCCGTATACTTAAAAAGAATAACTGTACACCCTCCTCTGTGTGTATGTTTATCTATCTGTTATTGGGACAGACATAAACTGTTTTTCAGTTTAAATGTGAAGCAATTTTAAAATATTACCTCCACCTAAATATGCCCCATTAATTTAATTTCATACATATGAAAGAAGAGCGTGACACTCAGCGGCTCACCCAGCCTTTTTATTAACATGTAAAAGCTATGTTTTATTCAGTGATGTTGAATAACAGCCCATCAAAGCACAGGGAACATTTACTCACAAATGGGAAAACCACTCCACTACCCACAAAAAATAAATAAATAAATTTTTTAAAAATCAAGTGCTCAGCCAGACAAGAACTTCAAATTACTTCCATTAGTCTCGTATATCTGACAAGCGCTGCCTGCTTATGGGGTCTGTTTGAAGACGCAAATTCACTTCTATGCTGAGCCAGACATTTTTGTGGGGTGAAAAAAAAAAAGGATTTCTAACCAGGCCAGTATTCGTCTGAAAATTAACACTGTTTGAGGCCCCAATTGCACATTAATTGCTGTTTATGTCATCTCAATATAGTGCATGGAGAATAGAAATAATATTTTAAGCCTAGTTTTCATTCTGTGTTAGAAATACAGATTTTTAATTGGCTACTGTGGACGCAGACTTGGCAAAGAAAGTTTTGTTTCTTTCCCATTAAAACAACTGCCCTTATTCAATCACATCATTGTTTTTATTGTCGGATTGCCATCATGTTCTTGCTTTTCTAAAAATGCAAGACAGGTGTTTCCGATTCTTTTGCGAACTGTTAACGCCAAGGTCAGCTGTTTTTTGTTTTGTTTTTGTGTTTGTTTTGTTTTTGGTACTTGGAGTAGAAAAGCAATCCAAATGATTTGCTTATGATATACACTATAGAGCTGTGTTGCTTGATAGCAAATGTTAGTATTGTTCTTCTTTTGATCCACAGCTCTTGTACCCAAATGAGCTTCATTCTCTAATGTCAGTTTTGTCTGAACAAAATGTACTCGTATCCCGAGAGTATCTGCCTTGGGGATCTGAGTCACACTTGCCGTCTTTCCATGTTCACCCTCTATGGAGCAGTTAGGGACTTTACACCCTATTACATCACATGTCGAGGTCGTAGTTGTATCTGAATTTTCATCCTTTTACACATTCATAGATTATAACAAAATGCTAAATTATCGTGCTCCCACGGCGCTGACGTTTTTCTCACAGACGGCTGCTGCAAGATTTCCCAGAGGACTCTTACTGTGTAGGATCCACGAAAGGATAAATGGCTCAGACATTATGCAAAACAACAACAAAAAAGCCCCAAAACTTTCATTTGCTTCAATCATCATTAGCAGTATTTTGTATCCTATCTTTTTTCCCCTCCCTAAGCTCTGAAACCTGAGAAATAATCACTGGACATGTAATATGCTTTCACCATTAGTCACATTATTTCTATTTAATGATCTTTTTCAGTGCTGCGCAGCTCATTTAAATTCATTAGAAGCTTTCTTCTTTTCATTTCCTCATTAAATTTCAAGAGATGATGCATTACATAGCTGTGATACCCATCAGCATCCAGCTTGAGTCAAAAAACAGCTTAAGTGTCACTAAGTCTACATCGGGCGGTATTCTTCTTTGTTTATCACTTAGCCATTGCAGTTAGCTCATTTTTTTTGTGCACTGCAGAAAAATCCTTCAATGTCAACTTGAAGCCAGGCGCTTCACTTTCACCTTCACACTTACTTTTTCAAATATTTTGGTGTAATAATGTGTTTTGTGACACTCCGTGGCCTCCAGAGGTTTCAGTGTTTGTAAGAAATGTGCAATACTAAAGAACCTTGCACGAAGAAAAGAAGAGGGGAGTGGAAGGAAGGTGAGCTTCTGCTGAATGTATTGGAAGACAGGATGCAGTTGTCAGTGGCGAATCCATTTGCAAACTTTATGTCCATGTGTATTTCACTGAGATGTATATTCTTGCCATTTTAACATGATGGAGGCTCTAGATGGAAGGTGCTAGAGGTTGTCCAGAATGAAATCTATTCATCATCCAGGGACAATTCAGGGAGCTTCTCTTCATAATTTAAATATTTACTGTGTACTGTGGGAAATGGTGTATGTCTCCATTTATATAGTGATATTATCCTGTCTGTGTCTTGTTCACAAGCACACACTGGTGGCAGGAATCTACCAGGCACGGTGCTTTCCTGACCACTGGGACCAATTAGGAGTTTAGCCTCTTGTCCAAGGTCACTTTGACAGGTGGACAGAAGGAGCTTGGGATTGAACCGTTATACCACATCCAGCTAAGTGGAAATCTTCAGTTCTGGCAAAAGGGCTCGTATACTGTGGCTACAGCAAATATCCACATCACATTTCATGTAAATTAGGGCAGAGGTCATTTTGGCACCGTGTTGAATATTCATGCCAGATCCTGCTGATGTTAGTGCTGGTGGTGTGACACAGACATATGTGCCTATAACTTGTTCATCTATACAACTAAAGAGGATAATGAAGGCTGTGAATATGACATTGGGATTTCAAAGCTTGTTTTTTTCCCACAGAATGTTTAGTGCATATCATTGCATGTTCATTTAAGTGCTAATTAACAAAAGTTAGAACGGATGCAATGTCAGCCTTGGGTATTTCACAATGTTTTACTGATATTATGGAGAAACATTTCTTGCATATTAGTATATTCTCATGGAATTCATGAGCAGCTTTTTAAGACTCGGGAGTGGCCTAGAGCTGGAGTCTGGTTGGTTAGAGCTTCGGGAAGATCATTGTACCTCGTTCACTTCCTTTGCCACAATTTCCCTCGCTGATTCAGTCTTGCAGTTCTACAACTTTTAGGTGACAGTCTAACAATTAAGCTACCGCCGCCCAAAATGTCCTTAAGCAGTGTCACTTTGAAAATGCATCTGTCCTACTTTCCAGAAGCTAAAATTAGAGGGAAATGTGCATTTGCTACCCGTTTGAAGTAAAAAAAAAAGAAAAACTTATTTCCTTTTTCCTATTAGATCCCTCGTGGAGGACGACGACGCTCACATGAAAGTTGCTCTGGGCTATGGTGATATGGGCATCTCTGCTCACCTTCAGGCATCAAAGACTGGAAACACTCGATTTTTCACAAGCAACACGCACAGCTCAGTGGTTCTTCAGGTGAGAGTGCAGAAACATAGAGAAAACAAAGTGTAGAGTCAAATATCACCTTCGTCTGATAATAACATTAATGTTTGGCCTTACCATTTCTTTGGCGATCTCGTGAGTAGTTTCTATAGCTCTGCTCACAGGTGTTTGCAGATTGCAGGCCAGCAAGATGTTGAATATTTGTTTTAATTGGATTTCTTTGAAGATTAAAAACTGTTAACATTGCGGTATCACACAACATAAGGGAATTGATACCATGGATTCCTGGGCACAGTTTAATATCTCGTCTCGTGTTTCAGTAATAATCCAAAACAGTTGGGATTTGGTGTCTATGTAATTTGATGTAAGGGGTGAGTGCAACCTGATTTACTGTTGATGAAAAATATAACAAAAGCTCACTCATCTTGTACATACACAACCCCCCCCCCCAAAAAAAAATAGTCAGGAAGCTGCATAAATGTTACAGTTGGTGGCAGCTTTGGCATGTCACCGCTGATTGGTGCAAAGTGAAGATCAGCCTAAAGTTGTGCAAGTGAGTGCTGGCATCATGCTGTTTGCTGCAACAGCAATAACTGTCCTTCGTCATCGGCTCTCACTGAAAATGAATGGCCGTTGGCTGCTTTTGCAGCTCATTAATCTTTTGCTGCCACAGCACAGTAAGGGAATGCTAATGATTTTTCTAGCCTGATGTGATCGTACACCCTGATTATAGAATCTGTTAGTCTCAATTAGGTGGTGCATTTGGAAGCATCCACCAAAAAACCCGCCCACTGATTATTGCAGGGGTTGTGAGTCGGTATGTGTTATACAGGTTTGTTTTTTTTTTTGTTTAATTCAATTTCGTTTTATTAAATAGCGCCAAATCACAGTAACTGTCGCCTCAAGGCGGTTTTTGGCTTGCACATTCTTAGTGCAACCTGCCATAACCATAATCAGAAGTGGTAGTCAGCTGGTAGGTTGTGAAATCAGGCGTTGGGTGAATAAGTGCATTATCCACTTATGAATTAAAGTGTGTTCGCCCATGTTTAGTGTAGGTAGTGCCTTTTAGCTGTAACTTTGCATCAGGTTTCTATGCCAACAAGAGAAAAAAATCCCTGTAATTCTAAACATGTCACTTTGAACCAGTTGTGCGTAAGAAAGCCAAGAAAATATGAAGGCAACAATCAAGTCGGTCAGCTCCAGCTCAAGACTAGAGTGCTGTCACGTATCATTTCAGGTCCATGAGCTCATGTCTGACAGGCCGTTGCTGACAGCATTTTGTTTTTATCCTCACTGAACCACACAAGTTCATTGTGTTGAGCCCTAAAGCAGTGACTGCTTTTTCCTTTTTTGGCAGCAGCCGTATTTGAAAGTTTTAGTATTGATGTTTTTCATCAGGCTTTGTCTAAGCCGAGATCTTCTTCTTGGGAGTAAAATCAGAGCTGTTCAGGTGCTCTAAGCTCAGGGTCAGCAACAAACCTCTCTCTCTTTCATGTTTTTTTTTTTCCTCTTTAAGGGATTTGACCAGCTGAGGATAGAGGGATTGCTCTGTGATGTCACATTGGTGGCTGGCGACTGTGATGAAGCTTTCCCTGTGCACCGTGCAATGATGGCCTCCTCCTCCGACTATTTCAAAGCCATGTTCACAGGTTGGTCTACATGCCCTTACTCCAGCCAAACCACGATGTAGAATTTTGTGATATTTGTGACAGTGGCACAGGCATTTAAGTACTCTATATCTCTGTATTTTCCACTAAATTGCTTTCTTTTCATGAGGATTTCTGTTTCTACACAGTGGCAGTCATGTTGCTAGAATTATGCATTGTGAATAAATTACTCAAATTGACCTTGTGCCCTCATCCCTCCAGTACTGAGCATATATTCATATTATAAAACCAGCTTGTTTGAGCCATTGTTATGCATTCATGTTCATGGTCATTTGTGCTGGCAATGAATATAAATGACCTACTTGCCTGTTTCATCTCCTTTGTGCACTGTATGCAGAGGCAGAAGAACCTTGAGCTCTTTTTAAGTACATAGAGAGTGTTTGTGTGGTATTTTCAGGAATAACAGACTGCAAAAAATTTTCTTCGTTCACTTTCGGATAACAAAGATATCTGGGCAATTAAACTGAAAGCTTTTAATCTGACGCAGGGAAAACGAGTAGCACAGATGTTGTCAGAGAACGCAACCTTACTGCACTGAATTTATCTTGTATTAACCCGTAGGTGTTTACTTTCATGACTCAAGCTTTGATGGGCAACTTGTCATCAAGTAACATTACGTTCTATATGATGAGCAGTGCACATGAATTTCTTTTTCTTTGTTTGGTCCAGATTAGCTTGCGAAATATAACGGAACAGAGGAAAGCTTTTTGTTTTGTCTTATTTCACTAATAAGTTAGCTTAGGGCTGTGCGATATGACCAAAATCTCATATCCCGATATAAGAATTATATCGTCCGATAATGATATAGATCACAAAAATGTAACATTTTCTGTAAATTCTGTGAATCTCGGGCAGCTTGACTTGCGGGAAGTGTTTTGTAGCTGGAGTCTATACAAACTATACATTTTTAGACATAAGTTGTAAAGGCTGCCGTTTTCTTTGTGAGTATTTATTACACAGCGTGCTGCGGGGGAAAACCTGTTCTAACGGTTGAGTCCAAGGTTTATTTTTTAGCACCTGGCGGCTCTTTTTTTAATTCTCATCCGTAAATAATCTGCTCTTTCACGTGATTCAGTTTATTTTGAAAAGTCGCAACAGGATCTTGAGCTTTATTGTGAAAGGTTTATGTGGAACATAAACAAGCGGACGCGTGAAGGTGTTACCGTCGCTGTTGCTAAAATAAACGCATAAAAACAGGCGCTTGAGAAAGAGAGAACTTTTAAGAAATTAATATAGCCACTACAGTGACCATCAAAACGATGAAAAAATATTGCCGTAAACAGTTTATTTTGCGACACCACGAAACAAACGATAGCGTAAAATGAAACGATTTTAAATCGTCATCCGATATATATCGTTATATCGAACAGCCTTAAGTTAGCTTATTAGTGAAAAGGGAATGCTCTGAGTGTAAATGTTGAACAAAAGTGCTCCCTTATGCTTACTATTCTTGGTGACATAAGTCATTTGACTGTAAAAACATTGGTATTGACATTTGCATCTACGTGACGTGTGCATATATTAGCTTTTATTCTTTTGAATAAAAAAAACTATCTGAGTTGAACCATATAAAGATACTATATGTTCAGTTAGTTTCTTCTTTCCCTTACTCTCCTCTGGTGCAGGTGGAATGAAAGAACAGGATTTAATGTGTATCAAGCTGCATGGAGTAAACCGAATAGGCCTCAAGAAGATTATTGACTTTATCTACACGGCAAAGTTGTCACTCAACATGGAGAATCTGCAAGACACACTTGAGGCAGCCAGTTTCTTACAAATCCTTCCAGTGCTGGACTTTTGCAAGGTCTTTCTCATCTCTGGGGTAAGGAAATTCTCACAAAAGGTGTGTTTTTACAGCTATCCTGCAGCTTTTAAGTTAGCTTATTGTCTGAATTAACTGGATATAAAATGTGAAACTTTTTTTCATAAACATTGTGTCATTTTAAACAAATTCCATCTAATCCACAAGTACAAGCTGCAATAGTTGCACACTCTTACTATTTGCACATCCTCTACAGAGAAAATAGCAAAGTAGAGTATGACAAGAGGGCCACCTCAATGCCAACCACATATATTCAATTTGTGTAATGTACTTGGATATTTATGATTTCAAAATATTGTATCTATTAGAGCTGTTTTGTTATATTTTCTAACTTTGTAATTTAATTTAATTTATTATATATTTTAGTTTAGTTACTATTCTTGGTGTCTTTGATTGACTGTGACCATATCATTTCATCAGGGATTAAAAAAGTATCTTGATTCTGAATATTTTGGATTTGAACTGGTGGGAAAGTTGTGAGAGGATGCCTGTGAGCCAGGGGAAGAGCAAAAAACCAAAGACTTATTTTGAATGAAGAAAAAGTACGTTTGAAGAACAATTTTGTTTACGGGTTGTGCTTGTTGTACAGAGTCAAGAGAAATCAGCTTTTAATTATAATTTCAACTGTTAATATGTCTGCCTGCTTTCATTAGCTAAAGTTATCATGCAGTGACTATTAATGCTGACAGCAAAGTGTTTAAAAATGTATGTACTTGTTTTTTCTTTAATGCAGTGCAGCAATCTGTTTTTACTGATAAATTTATCAAGGTGTATTAAAGCTGGTTTTCTTGCCAACCGTCTGAAAACCCACGTTTTTAAAATTTAAAGTGATATAAAATGGACAAAAGCAGCAGAGTCAGTTGACATCGGCTGTGTGTTAAATTGCTAAAGCACTGATTCTTTGTAATGAGACTTCTTTCCCTTGAGCTGAGAATTAGTCAATATCATAGCATATTCTTTCATTTATGTTTCATTCACTGGGACTTGAAACTAGCAAAAGGCCCGTAAATTCACAGAGCAAGGGACTGAGGACATTTTTCCATAGATTTCTATACAACTAAAGGAATGACCAATTGTAGGCCAAGAGTTTGTTTTACTTTCCAAGGGCTGTAAGCTACATCCATCCTTTTCTTTTCACGCTTACTTGCAGCTTTCCAAGATTTTTTACTTGTTTTTTTTTCTGTCAAGGTTTCTCTGGACAACTGTGTAGAAGTGGGACGCATTGCCAACACATACAACCTCACAGAGGTGGATAAATACGTCAACAATTTCATCCTGAAGAACTTTCCCTCATTGCTGGGCACGGGGGAGTTTGTCAAGCTACCATTTGAACGCTTGGCTTTTGTACTGTCCAGTAACAGCTTAAAACACTGCACTGAGTTGGACCTGTTCAAGGCGGCTTGCCGCTGGCTACGCTTTGAAGACAGCCGTATGGACTATGCCCCAAAGCTCATGAAGAACATCCGCTTTCCTCTCATGAACCCGCAGGATCTCATCAATCACGTGCAGACTGTGGACTTTATGCGTACGGACAACACCTGTGTCAACCTTCTCCTGGAAGCTAGCAACTACCAAATGATGCCCTACATGCAGCCAGTTATGCAGTCAGAACGGACAGCCATCCGCTCAGACAGTGCCCACCTGGTCACTCTGGGTGGTGTTCTGCGCCAGCAGCTTGTTGTGAGCAAGGAGCTGCGTCTCTTTGATGAGAGGGCTCACGAATGGAAGGCGCTGGCGCCCATGGACGCACCTCGTTACCAACACGGCATTGCGGTCATCGGCAACTTTCTCTATGTTGTGGGTGGCCAAAGCAACTACGACACCAAAGGCAAAACAGCAGTGGACACGGTGTTCCGATATGACCCTCGCTACAACAAATGGATCCAGGTGGCATGCCTTAATGAGAAACGTACCTTCTTCCACCTCAGTGCACTCAAGGGACACCTCTACGCTGTCGGTGGAAGGAATGCTGCAGGGGAGCTTGGTGAGTTTATTTCCCCCACTTGTTTGCTTTTGTTTCCTTTTAAGCAACAACAGGGGCCTTTAATTAATATTGTATGAGATTTTACACTTTTAATATGAGAGAGCAGTGTGAGAAAGAATGAGCGCTTTAATAAGGCTGCAAGCATACCGACGCCAAGTAATCAAGAGCCGTGCATACACATCATTTGCTGTTTCAACATGTCGCACACATAATGTGTGTGTAATTTAATAAAATTTAGAGGATGGGCACATTATCACAAACACCCTCCCAATCGAATGTAATCCATTACAAAAGCATTTCAGCACATGCAGAATCAATTTCAGTCATCGCAGCCTCAGAGAAGTGTCATGGTTTTTGATGAGGTGTTGTTTAGGGTGTCATAATATATCATGAATAAAATAAGTTTAGATTTTTTTCTCTCTCCGTGTAATAAATTGCAGTGCAATACAACAAAGCCACAGCCTACGCTGATGCAGTCTTAACAAAGTCACAGTGTTTCTATTTGTTCAGAGCTGTGGTAGGTACATAACATTGAACTGTAGGTGATGAGATACAGCTGAAGCTGGCACAAAAACTGTGCCTGCAGGGAGGATTAAATAAAGAGGTGGATACATGTTGCCAGTGGCGTTTTCAGTGATTAAAAAGGGAAAAAAAGAAAAAAAGCGGGTCATATCAGATCAACTTGTATCAGTAATCTGATGCTTTTACAAGCTTTTTGGTTCACATTTCATCCCTCTGGTGGAAAGACGAAAGCCAACAGATGTATTTATACATTTATATCTAGTCTTTGTAATTTGGTTGTTGATGCTGAGTAACCAATCTGCAATCTCTGCACCAACTGTAGACCACAGAGAGGTGCCACCCAGTACTTAAATTCAGCTCTGTAGCTGCAGTGGACAGAGAGAGGCTACTGTGGAAGCAGTCTGGGTTATAATTAGACCAAAAAACACAGCACCAGTTCACTGTCAGTCTACACAGCTGCCTCTTCCTTCTTTACGTTTCACTGCCCTTTAACTGCATGCGGTTAGGCCTCCATGTTTTTCTGGATGTGCCCCTTTTATTATATTTGTTTGCTCTGGGTAGATCACGAGGGTGTGGTTTTTCTGTTACGTCAGAAATGCCTAGATTTTAAAAGAAAAGCTTCACGACATAGAAACGAATATTTAGAATATACTTGCAGACCTGAGTGTTGCATGGATTTTAGTTTTGTGCTGCTTTTATATTTTCAAAAGGATGTAACAAAGATGCACGTACTTACTAATTCTAGTTCACCATGTTGTAAACCCTTTTATAGCTCTTGCACAATAACAGCTCAGTCTTTTAATATAAAAATAAGACTGCTTAAGACACCTATATATGCTTTAATTGAAAAAGAAGCAAAATGTACAGGTCTCGCTGTATGTCACCACAAGCTGCCAGTTTTTAAAATTATTATTCTATTTTCTATTTTCTATTTCTATTGTTGTGGTGAAGAACTTGTAGAAAGAAAAAAAATCCATGCTAATTACAAATGTGACCTTTCCAGCTTACAGAAGAAAATCATACATTGAATACATTTCAAGGTTTAAATGCAATTTATAATTTCTTCATTGAGAAGTTGCTTGTGATGAATTCCATTTTCAGCAACTTTGCAGTTTAGATACGGTCAGCACAACTGTGCTATTTCCATCAAGTTGGTGTGAGAGTTTGTATACTGCTGAAGGTCACTTTGTTAATAGTCGTTGAGCAAGCAGACCTAGGTATCCACTGATTTCCTTGGTGAGACTTATCCAGCTGGTCCAGAGGTGACTCACAATCCTTGTGAGGGAACAAAAAAACCAAAAACAAACTGCCTGTAAATCTGTTAACTATAGAAGATGACCAAAAGTTTGTGAACTACATTGGATTACCAGGATTTCTAAACTTATTGATGATACATTTAAATTTGTTCTGACTCATTTATGAAGAAACACAATGTGAGTGAACTAATAACACAATGGTTTAATCATTTACAGTGCAGGCTGGAAAAGACCGGCTCCTGAGCTGAGTAACTAACAGGAGCTCCTCTATAACCCCATATACTTCAGTGGCTTATGAGTCTTGTAAAATGAGGAGGAATTTTGAAGGACTCCACTAAACAAAAATCTTTATCTATTTCTATAATGATATGATTGAACAAAACTCACAAGCTTATACTATTCAGACTATAAAAGCTGTTGTGACGCTGATTTTCTTGTGAGCTTGGGTTTATTGTTTTCTCTCATCACCGAGCGTTCTCAAAGCTTCAGGGAATGCACTGCTGCCCTGGAAATTTCTTCATTGAAATTTAGCAGTGCGACAGACTGGCGACCTGTCCAGGGTGTACCCTGCCTCTCGCCCTAAGACAGCTGGGATAGGCTCCAGCCCTCCAGCCCCCCACCCCCACCCCCACCCCCCCGCCACCCTGAAAAAGGATAAGCAGAAGCGAATGGATGGATGGATGGAAATTTTGAATTCATTCTTCCCTACACTATTGTAAGGCACCCAGGCCTCAGGTAGCAAAGCATCCCTGGATAATGATACCACCTCCACTATGCCTTACAGCTTTGGTGTTTGTTTCAGGAATGAAAAGAGTTTAAGCAGGTTGTAGAGATTCGTTTTGCAGGTAACGTTGGGCTCATTTCCACCGTTTCTATTGGGATGTACTCTGTATTTAAGTCTGTTTGTGCTTAACTGTCTCAGTTGTAATTTTTGCAGGTAGCTGCTTCTGGAAAGTGGAGCAACAGTCCTGATTGTTCAGAATTTTTCCTCACTCATGTCTTTAGAAATACCTGTGTAGCCTTTCCCAGCTCAGTGTACTCCTGTAGCACTCTTCTGAGGTTCTGTGAAAGTTGATTGAAGCATATTTATGGGGATTGGCTCATCTACAACCTACATTTCCAGACTCCGTAATTGGAGCACCTCACTTCAAATACTTTCTGCAGCAAGTTCAATCCAGAAATGTCGAAAACTGGATCCCAGATATAGTGAACGCAGAAATGATGAAACAGATCAGCCACTGGTGAAACCCATTTTATTTGCCAGGAAGCCTGGAGCAAGTCAACAGGAGAATTATGGGACTGTAACCCATAATAAATGGAGAAATTCTGGTAATTCTTAGTAGTTCACAAATCTTTGTCATAAATGTTAACAAGCTCTAGTGAAATGGAAACGTGTGATTCTGCATTGTTAAACTGTGGTGTTTGATGTGAAGGTAAATCATTACCCTTCTCCATCAATGCAGTGATCATACATGTTGATGGACCCTGGCTGGCTGGCTGGCTGGTTTTGGGGTTCCCAGCCAGCAATTATCAGCCTGTGAGCAACTGATATGAACCCTAAGGTCCCCTTTCTGATTTCTCTGATATTTTATAGAACCATCCTCAGACACCTTAAGATGAAAGCTCGAACAATCTCACTATTTCCTGCACAGTCAGTGCATTCAGAGCTGGTGGGGATGTGTACTCTCTATTTAAATCCTTGTTTTAGCTCCCACGCTGAGACCCTCCAAGGCCTCATTTGCTGCTGTTTGTCCTCCTTAGTTGTGTCTTGACCTACTTTCTACTAATACAGTCTCTTTTTTCTCTTTTTTTCATCTGTTTCTTCAAGCTACTGTGGAGTGCTACAACCCAAGGACAAATGAATGGACATACGTTGCCAAAATGAATGAGCCACATTATGGCCACGCTGGGACGGTGTACGGTGGTTATATGTATATTTCAGGTAAGTGGCTCCAGGGAGATTTGAGTTTATTATCGGCTTAAATAAATAGAGATGTAATGTTGCATGACTGGGTAAGAGTTGTTTTTTTTAATTGCATGTTTTAAAGTTACAATAGCAATAAATTTTATTCTCTGAATGTGTTATAGAACTGCAAGGTGGGGCCACAATAGTATCTCATTTTAGACAAACCGTACATAGAGTTCTGGAGTTATATGTGAGTCAGGATTTTTCTGACAGCCTGTTAATGCTAGGTATTTTTATCTTTCAAACTTCATATAAAGAAAGTGTCTTTCACACTTCCAGACTTTTGCAAATCTTTCCTCACACTTTATTCATCTATGCTGAGCATGCTTTTGGAGCCTGCGAGGGTTCAACACTTAGGGCAGATGGCAGACACTGAGAATTGGGCCTTCAGCCAGCCAGTACTTTCTCTTTAGGTGACACCTGGGCACTTATTCACTTAATACGACGGAAAACAAATCCTGCAGTATGGAGATGAGCCCTAGTTTCTTAGTGTGACTAATCCAGAGAGGTGCTACAAAAGATGGGGAACGGTGGTGGTGGTGGAGGGGAATTGGGAAGGATGGAGCAAAGTAGAGGACTAGAGCCTGTGTAGGAGGTGTAACACAGAAGAGACTGTAATAATCCCTCCTGGCCATGGGTACTATGATCCATCTGCAACACATGAGCAAAAAAATTGTTTTATGCAAAAATATTTTAAAAAATAGATAATGGTTTTCAGCATTGTTTTTTTTTTAAAAATATATATATATATAGAAGGGGAGATAGAAGTAACAATCAGAATGGAAATGGTGTTGGTATTTTGATCCTTTAATCCTCCTGAATATGAATACATTATGAACACCAACACTTACATAGTTGCATTAAACGCATATTGTACTTACAGTGCCACCTGGGAAACTTTAGCTAATGAAAATAAAATATTGAAATGCTCTCTAGCAGCAATATACTAGCAGCAGTATTAAACCAATTTACAGTCTGAGGTGTTGACCAGCTTGCATGCAGTTTTATTAGATCCAGCAATGTGATCACTGTGCACACAAGCCGTGAATTCAATCCACAGACCTGCAAATGTTTGCCGGTGTTAGATGGTCCTACAGAAGGCACCTCACATTCTCTATCACATTGGTTCCAGTTATCTTTCATGTTTAGCTGGAAAAAATTGCCACATTAAAAGTACATGCAGCCCCTTTGATTTGATTTTTATATCACCGAACTCTGACGTGCTGGAAAGAGGCCAAAAGCTAAGGACTACCTACACACACGAGTACTATCAGGGTTTATATAAACAATTTTTAATTAGTTAATATTTCACATTATCAGGGAGAAGAACTGGGGCATGTTTGGGATCACACAGATCACAAGATTTGGCAGACCTAATATTAGAGTGGAGCCGAGATGAAAGCCACACATTTTACTTTTTAATATAACTAAAGTGAAATGATGAATAACAAAACGGTCACGGCCTGAGCTAATCTGCTGGTAGCCAGCTGTATGAATCGCTTCGCCCCTGGCAGTACTTTCCACTTCGTAGCGTTCCACTTTTTGATAGTCTAATGGCTTATCCTTTGTGTGTGTGTGTGTGTGTGTGTGTGTGTGTGTTGGTCTCATGTTTCAGAGATACAATCAATCACAGTTCAGCAGTCTTGTAAATTCTGCTATTTGTAACAGCTGGCTGTGCACCTGTGACAGCTGAAAATATGTGTCAGGGAAAATGAACGCTTGCGTTACACGATCAAGCTGGTCAGGCAGTTTTCTGAGTACAGCTGTGGGTTATAACACAACAGCGTGTTTTCAAGTGCCTTTAATGCCCACGGCACAGGTAAACGAGCATTACCCATTAGTGCAGTTTTGTTCCGGCGAGTCCCTGCTGTAGCGTCCGCGGTCTCAGAGGTTACAGTCGCGCTGTGCAAGGTGACCCGAGCTGGAGTGCACTTCTGTGTCTAGCTGTCACAGTACATCAGGTCACATTCTCCGGCTGTGCTGCTGCACTGTCTGAAGGTATTCTGTCAGCTGGATGAGCCTGACGAATGCACTCAGCCCACAGACCATCACGGCTCAAGTGGTGTGACAGAGTTCAGACACAAGCACTGAAAACGGCACAGAGCAACGCTGCTGCTGGTCCACATTCCTATCGAGAGATTAAGACCCTTTGGTTTTACTATTACACTTTCTCCGAGTGTTCTGATGATTTGTGTGTGATTGTTGCTTCACTGACTGGGGATTTTTGAGGTTTTCACAACTCGCTAGTTGTCTGCTAATGGTGTTTTTATGTAAAGAAAAAAATGTTGATGTAAATCTCATGGTTGAGATTTTTATTTTTATTTTTTTTTCCTCCATTAAAGATGATTATATTTGATCATTTATATTTATCGGGACATTTTATATTTTAAAAATCTAAAGTACTCTCCGCTTTAATTCATCTATGCTGAACATGCATTTAATGTCAGTGAGAGCTGACAGTAATCTCAAATGGATATGGTTCTGTAATGCAAACCTTCTTTCTTCAGGTTACTTTGAAAAGTGAGAAGAGGGTAAAAATTTGAGCTCAAAATTTTTCATTTTCTTTCATCATCCCTTTCTAGCCTCTTTATTTTAATGTCAGTGTCTATTTATTTTAAACCGCCTCGCAGTAAAACTGATCAATATATGGACGTGCTTCCTTCAGATCAGGATATTTTCTAGTGTAAAAATCTGCTGGGCTGAATGTGCTTTTTGATTCTTAGCTTACATGTGTGTTTATATTTAATTTCTTTGCATTAATAGTGACATTTCTGCACTAAGCTTGTACTGGCCTGCAAAGTTGTTTGGATAAATTGAAATAGTTGAAAGCGGTCATTTGAAAGATGGTTAAGAAAGATTCCTTTTCATATTTTTTCTTATTTCTGACAGTCTGCTAGGTATTTGTATGTTTGAACTCGCTACATCATTTAAAAACACTGTCTTTCACACTTACAGATTTATGCTAATCATTCCTCACACCTTTGATTCATCTGTGCTGAACATGCATTTGAAGTCTGTTTGGGCTCAGTGCAGAGAACTGACAGTGCTCACGAATATTAGGTTTCTAAATGGTGATGTCCTGCGATGGCTCCACATTGAATCATATGAAATGTTGGTCGTATTGACATAGTTGCTGCTCTCGTGATATAATGGAGGTGTTGGTTAAGACTGTTACAGCGTAGCTCCTCTGCCTTTTTTGTGTGGAGTTATGAAGTGAATTTAAAAAATAAGGGGCTTCTGCTTAAAACCTAAAGAGAAAATGTGTTGAATTTCATTGTATGACTTAAAACCCAGAAGTGATGACCCATAATGGCTCATAACTGTCTGAAATTTCAATTTGCTGCTCACCTCAAGAGTAAATAACTGTCTATTTTATCAGGAATAGTGAATAGAGGGAACAGGGGAGCCATTTAGAGCTCATATTCCTGCAGGGACTAATAGTCAGAGTGAGATGTCATACGGCTGTAAACTGAACTTGATAGTACGACTTCAAGAGGGTGATTATGTTCAATGGAGAAACGCAAGTGACTGAAAGTATTTTGCATGACACGGAGGCCATAAATGCAAACCTCTCCATTCTTCAAGTCACTCTGAAAAGTGAGAAGAAAGTAAAAACTGGTTTCATCAAGCCTGCGCTGCCTTTTGTATGTTAATGTCAGTCTACATATATTTTAAATCACTCTGCAGTAACGCTAATCAATACAGGGATACATAGATCGTTACATATGGGCTCTCTAACTCATTATGGGGTATTTTTGGAATCTGCTAAGCCCCCTCCCCACCTCCCCGTCTATTTCGCATCATTTCTGTGAGTCCCACATATGCTGACACTGATTCAACCAGGTCGCTGGTTTTACAAGGGGACTCTGCAGTTGTTTTATATCTGCATGGCTGAGCAGGCAAATGTTTTGGCGTGGTAAAACAAGGGCATATGTAGCAGACATTATGAACAATATCGCAGTCTGCCCTAAGCTGCCTATGGAAGGGCAAAAGCTCCTCGGCAAGTTTGTCAGAGCTGGGATCAATTTGGCAAAATCTTGTCTGCTCTTAGTGTCTCTCTAATGGCGCTGATTAGACAAAGATACTGGAAAACTGATCAGACATTATTGTATTAGGGAAAGGCCAAAGCCATTGAACTGAATCAAAATAGCAGCACACTCCCTTGAGAGGTATTACAAGGAGGCTATTTTGACTCCAGCACTGTTCTCTTGTCAGGGTTTTAATAGCTGATTTGCTCCGTCGACTACTTGGATAAGGAATACGAATGGTGAGGCCATCTTTGAACCTGATCAGCTAAGGGGTTGCTCCATCAGAGATCTGAGTCATGGCAGCTGAATAGACGGCTTAGGCCTGAACAATAAACCGAGCGCACGATCACTGGGCAGCAAGAAAAGAGGGATACTGCCTGTATTCGGCGTGCTCTGCAAATCTTCACTGCATTTGCTCCTAGTCAATCTGCCTGGGGGGGGGAGGGGTAGGCTGGCTTCCACCCAAATGCATGCTGGGATTGTGTTCCTCTTTATTTTAAGCCTTCCCTGTAGACATGTCCTGTTTTTTTCCGGTTGTGTTTTTTTCCCTCCTTCCCCACTTTCCCTCAGCATTGTGTGTTGCGGTGTCTACAGACTGTTTGCGTGAATGCGCGTGCATGCGCGGACGCTTTGTAATGGTGTTCCACTTTGTACTGAGCGCTCCTCATCAGCATTATTTCATGTTGTGGAAAAGAGGCTGAAAAGCTATTGATGTCACTTCGGTTTGTGAAATCAGTGTTTAGCCTGCAAATTGGCGGGTGGGTTCGAGTGAAGGTGTGGAAAAAGGGGATCAAAGAGAAGTCAGAGGTCTTTTGCTTTTGTTTTTGTTTGTTTGTTTATTTGTTTGTTTTTTAAATGAGCGGCCTTCCAGCGTCAGAGCTGGCTGATGCTCCACATCGCCCAGATGAATAAAAAGGTTGGCTGACTTGAGCGAACGAGTCATTAATCTGTCTGAGTGACAGCTTCTCCCAACTAATGAGCCTTGAGCCCTAATTTCCATGCTCTTGTTTCATTTTATTTTTTTTTTTTCTTGCTGCAGGTGGAATCACTCACGACACTTTTCAGAAGGAGCTGATGTGCTTTGACCCGGATGCCGATAAATGGACTCAGAAAGCGCCCATGACGACAGTTCGCGGCCTCCACTGCATGTGCACGGTGGGCGACCGTCTTTACGTGATCGGAGGCAATCATTTCAGGGGCACCAGCGACTACGACGACGTCCTCAGCTGCGAATACTACTCCCCCGCCCTCGACTTGTGGACACCTATCGCCGCCATGTTGCGAGGTCAGAGCGACGTGGGCGTGGCCGTGTTTGAGAATAAGATTTACGTGGTGGGCGGCTACTCGTGGAACAATAGGTGCATGGTGGAAATAGTACAGAAGTACGACCCCGAGAAAGACGAATGGCACAAAGTTTTCGACTTGCCCGAGTCACTGGGGGGAATCCGAGCCTGCACACTCACTGTTTTCCCCCCTGATGATATGTCGGGCTCACCCTCCAGAGAGTCGCCGCTTTCAGCACCTTGATGAGCAAAGGGGGTGAGCCCTACTCCGCTCATACCCCCGTAACCCTTCCCCACCCCCCCGACAGCCCCCCTCAACAAACACACCTTATAGACTTTGTTTGCACTTCCTTTATGGACAACATCTGTACTGCATCCCAAACTACCCCCCAAGTCCACATCCCCTAAAGCTGTGCAGAACCCCCCCTCCCACATCTGCGTGATGAAACCTACATACCAACATGGTTTGGCAACCTAATTACATGTTAATTTTGCATACTTGGTATATTTTGGCAGGAAAAAAACAACAACAAAAAAAAAAACAACCTCCACTTGAAAAGTGACTTTGCAAATCAACTTTTCTACCTGATGTCCAGACTTTTCTTATGTCTCGTTTCTTTTGGTGTTCTACCTTGAGATGTTGACTACCACACTGACTCTCTCTTCTAGTCTATGCCAGGTTAGATGCAGGTGACACCGTCCTCAGACAGCAAACACATAGGGACCGATGAGCTTTTGAAAGACACGTGGTTTTTAACTCAGGGGTTGGCCCAGGCCCCATCTTCGTCTCTCTTGCAGTTTCACTTCTTTCCTGCTGTTGGTATGAAACTGTTAACAAAAATGGTGTTTTCTAAATTTAATAAACATGATTTTGAAAGTAATCAAATATTGTCCTCTTCACTGGCTACAGCTTGAAGTTGCACGTATCCAGGTCGTATTTTGATGTCTGAGTGAATCTAAAATCTCTTATACAGGATTCATGATCATTAATCAGCTGAGAGAGAGTTGGCTTCCTTTGTTGCTTTGTAAACTTGTCTGTAATGAATGTGCTGTGAATGACGTGAAGGAAAAGATCAATCAGTCTGTTTGTGGGGAACGATGACTTCGCTTTTATACTGCGGAGCTGGACTGTATGCAGTAAAGGATAACCGCAGACATAGAGTGTGATTTTTCTTTTTAGAGCCACGCTGTTGAAGCACTGTCCACCCAGTGATGCAAACTACACTGCTGACAAGTGTTAACTGGAATTTGGCAATTCCACCGCTGTCACCTCTTCTCCTGCCATCATGACAGACGGTAATGTCGCCCACAATCTGCCCACCTGCTCCCGGATCATTAAAGCCTTAATAGCAGCATATGGTGTCCGAGACGTCGGCTTCAAGCTGTTACTAGGAACAAAAGGTTTGTGTAATCATCAGGTGAGTTGGCTCCAGAGCTTTAAATCCTCATTATAGTCTCATTATGTCCCTTTAATGAGATGCTGCAATGGTGCTTGAGATTTGAGATTTTAATACCTGTTTCTGTGTTTTCCAGAGCAATAATCTACTATAGGTCTGTCTTTTAATAGATTGTTTTAACATGTTATGAATTGATATGCGTTTGTGCTTTTTTTAATGTTTCATTTTGAGGCTCTTATGTGCTAAACGGGTCAGTCTTGTTTCATTAGCTACATTTTAGCTTGGTCGTGTTTTTTTGAGGGTTATGTTAATGTCACACGTCAAAAAGCTTTTCTTTTTTTTTTCTAAAGAGTCTTATTATGAAGTCCTTTTTAAATGTAACAGTCTGCATCATTCATCTAGTTTTAAAAATAGGCACTTTGTAATCATTTTAATGGAAAGCCACTGAATACACAGAGGAGCAAAACATGTGATGCGCACAGCTGCTAGATGAGGTTGCAGGAGTAGGACTTCAGTGCCGTTGTTGCCTGGACATTTAACTGAAAATAACCCTTACACTGGTTACCATTTACCCTGTGGATCCGCTGAATATGAGAGAAGTAATGAGAGCAAAGAGAAGAGGATGGAGTGATGCTGCAGGTAGAAAGTAGTAAGATAAGATGATAACCGCTTCAGTTAGCATGCTGCGAAAAAGGGTGATTATTTAGACTGAGAGACTCTTTAAGGCTAATAACCTAATCCACCTCCTATCGTGTAAAGTTTGATTGCTAAGAAACATTTTCTGCTAATTGAATATGTCCCTGATATAACAAGTTTATGTAAGTTTGTCAGCTGAAGAATCTTTCTTTTAGTTGTTATGCTGTGGTACTTTTCTTTTTATTATGTTTGCAGTCTTAGCCAGTCAGAGGTAGGTTTGCAAATAACTGAAAGTATAAAGGCAAAGAATTTTCAAGCCATGCTGGTGCTAGACTTTATTATTTGCACATTCTAGCAACTGGTAATTCACTCGGTGTAAATGGTAAAATAATTTCTTCTGGATCAGAATTATTATAGTTTTTTTTATTTTTATTTCCTAATTAGTTTTGGTTTTTAATTGATTGTAGTTTCTTGAGTGGATCTTCCTATTTCAGTTTTGTTTGCATTGTTTGAAATGGTTTAGTTTTAGTTTCTAGTTTTTAAGCACGTTAGCAAGCTAATGTTAGCAAGCTAATGTTAGCAAGCTAATGTTAGCAAGCTAATGTTAGCAAGCTAATGTTAGCAAGCTATTTAGCTCATAATCCCTCAGGGCTCAAGAAAACCTCAAAGATTTTTATAGTATAGATGTTTAACCTTATTATGATGACCGTTTTATCCCAAAAAAATTTCTTTCACATAGCAGCTACACACTGAAAATATATTACTGCAAAAAATAAGGCACCACTTAAATTACACATAGGATCTCTATGAACAAAACATTCAAGTTGAAAATCTTTACCGCCTTTAAATTTGTGTAATTTGTTGAGAACAAAATGACTTAATGGTCATAATGGAAAACCAAAATCATCAACGCTTTCATGGTTGGATTCAAAATTACACCAAAAATCAAGATCATTGATTTGTTATTGTTATTGAAATCACAGCCTGAACCAATCATAATGCCTGTATGCACTCTGACAATGTCTGGGATGAGGTTATGGATGGCATCCTGGAGGATATCCTGGACAGCTTTTTGGTGCAATTTAGCAGTGTCTCATGTATTACTACATAATGAAGTCTGGAGAACATGAGGACTAGCTGGTGGGCTCCAGGATCTGCCAAACATTCGCCCACCTAAAAGCAGCCAGGATAGTGTTGGCCGGTGTGTGAACCCAATTAGCCACCAATAATGTTTACATCCTGCTCTCACTGTGGAAAGACGTATGCTTCATTCTGCTATTATGACCAGGTGTAGTTTAGTGAAGGAGAAAGTAGTTCCTTCCTGAAAGTGCTCTTAGTAAGGTTTGTGTTGAAAACCAGGTCCTGATGTATTATTAGCTCTTAGAGCACAACAATGCAAGCACCATTTAGTTCCACTGTATTCAGGAGAAGGCAGGATTTTCTCCAGCCAATATCACCGCTCCATGGCCTGTGCAGTGATGCAATGAGCGATGATCCACATTAAACGTGTAATTCCTCTCGAATGGGTCGCGCTATTGTGTTTTTGCAAGCCACAGTCAATATTGCATGATGCAGAGCTTTGTGTATTCTGAAGACTGAACATTTAGGTATTATTGGACAATGTGTCCTCGGTGCTAAACCAAAGAGAACTGGAGCAAAAAATTACAAGCGTTCACCCATCCTCCTCCTCCTCCTCCCCTCCACATCACTACCTGTGTTTCTCGGTGGATTTCTTCACCACTGGAGGCATGTTCTCTTGATTCATGAAGCAGATAAAAGAGGAGCGAGTGGATTACGACCTGACTCTTGACACATGAACGCAGCACACATTTGTGGCTCCGTGTGTCTCCAGACGACGACTCCTCCTCATCTCATCCCAGTCAGAAAATGACCTAGATTCTCCAGGCTGCTGGATGTGTTTACATACACTGAGCGCTGATGACATTGTCAGTTAGAAAGCATCGCTCTCAGCTGCGAGGAGTGGGGCTCTTTTTACTGTAACCAAAGCGCCTATCCACCTCCCGTCATGATGAAATAGTGTGCAGAGCCACAGATCCCTGCTGTCCTCTGACTGCATGCATGATGGTGTTAATGGCTATTGATCCTTCTGACTGGCAGGCAGCCAAGATATCTGGATGTTACGCCTGCTAGATATATTTATTTTTGCAGTGAACTGCAAGCTGCCTTCTGTTATTAGACTCCACAAAGGTTTTTTCTCTCCAAAAAAAAGAGATTTACATCTCTCTTCTCTCCCTCATCATGAATATTCACAAAAGGTCAAGTCCTTGCGCTCCTCCTGAGCTCTCTATCCCCCCTGACTGTGTCCTGAATAACATGTCCCTGATTCATCTCTTGTTCCAGAGCTTGTTCCTGCCCTGGCTGTATTTTTAATATAGCAGAGATGGGAGGGGTAGGCCTAATTGGGATTTGTTTTGTTCAACATCTGGCCATGTACCAGTCCTAGATTTCGCCTCAGTTGTATCTCACATGTAAAACATTGTATGTAGGGATCTGACTTGCATCTTTAAAAAAGCACATCGTTTCTCCCTCAGTTTGATCTTCTGTCCTTCGTCTAAAGGACAGGGCATGATGTGCCTCTCTGAACCACCTCACTGCATTTGTATTTAAAAGTCATATTTCTGTGCTGACGTTTGTGAAGGTGCACTAGTGCTCGGGTTTCAGACTCGTCTGTGAAGACTGAGCTGTGGGAGAACATGCAAAAAGTCGACTGGAGACTTGATTGACAGGAAGCCTCTCCGAGGTGCCTCCCTGCTTTCAATCCATGCATGCTGGGGATATGCTCCAGTGCCCCCCTGACAACGGGCAGGAGAAAGTAGAGAATATGAAACTGGGAATTTTGTAGAGAACAGTGGAGTTTGCACACTTAGAGCTTTAAAGTGTAAAATTTGGCTACAAAAAAACTGTAATTAACCCTCTTTGGCATTTATCACACATTTGCCTCAGGTAAACTGCTTTAAAAGTCTCTTCCCTTTGACCAGCTGAAGAGAGCGTGGATCTAGAACAGTTCAACCGCTCTGGGAAAACTACTTGACCTCGCATGGGTTAAATACAGCTCCCGGTTAGCTTCCCTACAGGTTTTCTGCACCTGAGCTCCAAATGAAGCTTTTTACAAACTCAATTAAAACAAATTACTGGTCAAACATTCAAAGCATACCCGGCAATACAAAGCAATGTATCCTGACTGTAGCCAGAAACTGCGACAAGATAAGATTATTCAGGAAAGCAAGCCTTGGAAAAAAAATCAGCTTGACTCATTCTAGTAATTTATTTTGACATTTGTAAAACACATGCTGTGGCATTTTGAAACATAGACACGGCAGATTTGAAGCTTGTAAAATATTTGAATTCTATAATTGTCATTTATCATGTATGCATTGTCATATTGGGGACCTGCAGTTAGGGTTAGGGGTTAGGGGTTTTTGCAACATATTTTTCATAATAAAGGTCCAATGCATATTTTTTTTTTTTTTAAACAGGATGAAAGTTCACTAGTGGAGGAAGAAGCACTCAGATCTTAAGAACGCGTAAAGGGAAATGTCGAGTCAAGTCACCTTTTTATAGAGCACATTTAAAAACAAGGGTTGGACAATATGTACTTTGTTGAAGCAGTGCCTGCACAAGAATTCACAGAATAGAAAGTGCAAATTTGTCTAGAGCAAAGAGGGAAATGCAAAATATAAGCCTGATGAAAAATGAGAAACGCTAGCAAGTATTACAGTCAAAGTGCATTCTGTAGTAAAATGCTTCCACCAGGTGACTGGAGGCATTTAAGTAGAGAGAGCTCGCTGAAATGTTCAAGAAAGCACTTTGTGGTGCTTTGAGCTTTG